CCTGGAGAGGAGAGAGACAAGGGAGAGAAGAGAAGGAAAGATATCACAGATTCCTCCAAATCACACAGACTAACTGGATTCATCAATCATTTGTTACAATGCTCACTCTATGCTAAAAGAAAAAAAAATTAAATTAAATAGCCATTAGGGAGTTAACATACAAAACAGTGCTTGTTTGCTATAATTTACCTCAGCCAAAACCCCAGTGATTTCCACGAGACTTTGCACAGACAGACATATTCATTCACCTGTTCAGCATCAGCTGCACAAGAAGGTTCAGAGTTCTCCTTTCATTTTAGACTCTGAAATGGTCTTCATAATTTTATACGCTCTATCGGATGTAATAGTTAGGTACAAGACAGAAAGGCAAAGAAAGTTTTGATGCTCATGATGGTTATGGAGTAGTAGGGTGGGTTTTTTTATTTTGCTTGTTTAATGGGGAAAATCATCACTGACTTTCTTTATACATTAACATGTTGACTGCAACCTGCCGTTAGCAACAAACAAGAAAACTTCAGCACACGTAAAGGCGGCCTAGATTCCCATGCACTGTTACAGCTTTCTAGTTGTTTTAAGCTGGGTAAGACCTACCAGCAAAGTAGTAATTGGTATAGGATAGATAAAAACAAACAGGCAATATTTATGCATGCATTTTCTTTTAGAAGGCCACCATTTTAAAATCAAAACCAAATATTCTGATCATTTATTTCCCTAAATATTAAAATTATTTTTAATTGTAAAGAGCCAGAGCTTGGTCCCTCAAAAAACTAATGCAACTATGTTTGTGTATGTTATATTAAAAAAAGCAACCAGAACTTACTATAATAGGTTTAAAAGGTAAAGTAGAAAACAGGCTCTCACAGAGGGAAAAGATCAGAATTTGTATCTTAGAGTAGGATTCACAATGAAAACAGTTAATGATCACTTTTCATTGTTGTATGAGATATTGCTCCTATAGCTAATATTACAGAACTTAAAATAATTCTGTCTACAGTGTCAGCATGCGACATGAAAATCTTCAATAAAATCTGTTCAACCCTAAAAGACCGAGAGAAGTGTCAGACCAACAGCAAACATACGTTTAATTTGAAAAGCAAACATTTAATCTTAATATTTTGTAATGTGAATTCTGAAGATTCACATTTCTAGCTTGTTTGTCATACTTTCAGAAGTTAGTGGGTTATACGGATAATAACATCCAAAACATCTGGCATTAGACATACCATGGAGCATTAGACAACAACCTTTGGCTTTAGAAAGGAGTTTTACAAGGACTGCTTGTTCTAAATTCAGAGGGTCCAGTGTCATATTATAGATATATGTTCCTATAGGACTAAATTCTGACCAAGTTCTCTACAATATCACCCCTTGCTGGCCATTCTACAGAATGGCAGTGACATCCATTATACACAAATCCATTTGGCTACCAAGGCAGTAAGAATTACAGCACTACAATAGTAACCAGTAATAGTAGAGGTGCCTACAAAATGGAGATGGAGCTGGTTAAAGGAAGGGAAGACAGAGGGAGCTTCAGGGGGCTTAAAGATAAAATGTAATTTGAATAACTACTTTTCCTCATCACTCTAGAGTAACCCAGTAAACACTGTTCATATATTTGGCTACTACAATGCAAAAAGGAACACCTTTTCTGTGTAATTTCATAGAAAACTTTTTAGGCCAAAGTCTTTAATCAAATTACAGGAATCTTGATGATCCAGTTGATTAAACCAAAAAAGGACTAACAAAATAAAGGGATATCCATCAAGACCATGTAAACCCTCTTTAACAGAGCTGGCATTAGCTATAATGAGCTACATTTATTCTTCAGCTGTGAAACAGCACTCACCTCCTGAATGGTACTGCTTCCTGAGAAGTTGAGGTTGTACTCCCGCTGGACTTCTCGATGGGTGACGATCAGCATGAAGTTTTGATTTAATGACTCCTGCAGGGCCCTGAAATGGTTGAAAGAAAAACAAGAAAATCAGGGATAAGCATGTTATAGCTTGTTTTACAGTTAGATGCAAAAACCCCAGGGTACCCTAAACTCTACATGGACAAGTCCAGGCACAACATTATCATCTCTCTTTTCACTCTTAAATGCAAGGAAGCATGCTGAGAATGACCAAAGGCCATTCCTGAACTCCTTCCTTAATAAGGTGACTGCAGCCTTTAAAGCTCTTCTAATGTTAAGTATTCTCAAAATTGAGAGAGTCACATTATCTTCACAAACATCGGGTATATTTAGCACTCATAATGCCATTAATACCAGGCTTGTAAGCATATTGATGACCAGAGAAAATATCAAGCTACAGCGCACATTAAAAACTGATGGTAAGTAGAACAAGGCAAAGCATGCTCTCGCTTCTCTAGGGTTACCTGAAGCATAAACCAAATGGAAATTCTTCTGCTTAGTTTCATTCAAAGCACATAAACCCAGCTAATTAGAACTGGAAAACTAACAACAGCAAAATTTCTCATGTGGGTATTGAGCATTCAGAAAAGTTAGTTCTGCTCAAATTGTTTTAAATTTATGTTAAAACATCTTTAATCATACAAATAAAAAAAAAAATCTTAAGATACAGATTAAACAGGCCAACTACATGTTGATGTTACCACAAACTTGGGTTTTTTTGGTGATTTTCCTGGTAACAAAACATATGGATGTTAAAAAGGCATCCTGTTCGCTTAATTAGGTACGAAATTATGCAGCTATCTACTTTTCAAAATAGAAGGCAGGACTTCTGCTATAGACAGGGCAATTACAGCTGTGTACAATCTTATATAGGCTACAAAACTGCAGCAACATTGTAACATAGGTTGGATTTCTAAACAATATTTATGCAGACTTGACATGTTCAGTGGCATATGGAATTAAACTGGGCTTATTCAATTATTTTTTTTTCTTATCACGCACTTAAAAGAATGACAAACTGGGTTTTTTTTCGTTCACATCTTCACTGTTTCACGACACTTCAGCATGCCATTGCTCTTAGCAATAAAGGACAAATTCTGTATGCAGATGAGCACAGCTGTATCTTAAGACAGAAGAAGACAGGAAAGACTGCTAGATTATTTGAGTCCTGATTTGTTAGTTTTTCCTTCTACTGGAACTACTGAGCTGCAGTTTTGCTGCTCAGATGCTAAGCAACCCATGCAATACTCACTGGATGCTTTAGCAAGAGATGCACAATTTGCTTTAACATCTCAAGTAAAATTACCTTACAAAAATATCTTCACTCAGCAGCTTAATTTGGATTCTGTGACATCTTAAACATAATAATCACACACTACAAAACAAAATCATGAAGTGCCATTTCTTGTCTTTTATGGTTTTGTAAGATGGAAGATAAATTTAACTCATTGTCAGTGCTAGGTATGATCAAGTGTATGAAAGACACTAGAAAGGTAACTGAAGTAAGACATCTATACTGAACAAGAACTTAGCTGCACTTGTCACAAAATCTTGTAAAAACGGCCTAAAAAATTTTAAAATACATAACAGTCCTTCAAAAGAGGAGGAAAAAAAAAATAGTCAGCCCTGAAAAGCTGTGTGCCTGTTTTCAAAGGTAATTCTCATTTGATTGTTAACAGTAAGTTCAGCATCCCCATAACCATTTTTTTTGGCAAATGTTCAGTAGCAACTAAAATATCCTGCTGTGCTTTTTCAGATTCTGATTTTTTATTTGTTTTCAGCAAATACTGGAGGCGAATAACATATTTAATTGCTCTGAAAACATTAATTACAGCATATGTGAATGGCTTTGGATTCCATACAGAATCAGACAAGGCTCTGTTATAGCTATTTTTGACTCTATCTGAAAATCTGTAGATGCTAATCAATAACATGACTCACATTTTCATTCTGTAATTGATGTAAACATAGCATGAAACAAGCTAGTTTGATCAAACCAGTCTCTCAAGGTATGCGTGATACACACACTTCAGTACTATCTAAAATACAGTATGCTAATAAAAAGCATCTGTTCATAAGAAAGGTTTTCCACTTCTCTACTTCATCTGGCTGTGATAGCAGAGAGTATTTAGAAAAGGAAAAAATACTCTTCAAACACAGTTAATTTAAATGAAGTGACTTAAAACTAAAAGCCTCAATTTTTGAAGTAACTTACAATTTTGACACTTCTAATTTTGGGATTTCTGAACAACACAAGTGGAACATTCTTAACAAGCAAATTCTCAGTACATATTCATAGCCAAACACAGTCAAAGAGGGTGCTGAAAATTAAGCTGGCTAAAAAAATAACCACCTCTGCAAAAAAAAAAAAAAAAAAAAAAGAGGAAAACATTGGTTTTGAAAGTGTTAGCAATTAAAGTGTATGGTTAATTATTCACCTTTTCTTCAGAAAAATAATATTTTGAGGAATATTACTTCTGCTTACACAGAAACACAGGGGTCAACTGATCCAATTCTTCGAGCTCCTCTATCAAAATCATGTATGGTCTGACAGCCTTAAGGACCTGGACCATATATGTTAGAAAGTCAATGGGAGGAGGAACCAATGGCACATCTGAGAAGTCTGTGCCAATGACTTCCTACATGTTCCAATGCTCCTCTGTGGGATGGGGTTGAACATGCAGCTGGACAACCAGCAATGTCAGTCCCCGCCCATACACATACATTTCCTCCAGCAACTAGGGATGTAGATTACCCCAAATAATTTGTGCCAATAGAACTCTGCTACCAAAACATACCTTGCCCTAAAATTGTGTTTTCAGCCATTAAGGCTATGTTCAAATGTACAAAATAAGTATACTTAAAGGAGACTTCTCACTGACAGTAAGCTGAAGCTTACTTTTATCTCTTTTTAGGTGCACATAACTGTATGGAGAAGACTGATTTTGAACACAATGCACATTTCTAAAATTTTGGCTTCAGTGTTTGCAGCAGTTTCATATTCCTGCAAATGTTATCAGTTGACTACAATCTTCCAAATGAAACATCTGCATTAAAAGAAAAGGAAAAAAAAAAAAAAAAAAAAATCAGGGCCAAACCCCAGGTCCCATTAAAGTCAAGACAGTTCAGATTTTCTCTTCTTTTTTTTTCCATCAGTGCTAAAAGAATTTAATTATTCTGAGAATTAATTAGTGGGAAAAGAAAATCAAATTCTAGAAGCAGGATTAAAGTAGGCCACTCTTATCAGCACCATTTCCCCCCTACTGCAAACTCTAGCTTTCAAAAGCATTTGCTGATAGATTATATAATGCTATTACTTTTTTTTTTTTTCCTGAGCTGAATGATTATACATTCACTATTCAGCACAGGAGACACTTGATGGTATTTTTGGGCACCTATCTCCCATTAGAAGAACTCTGCCTACCCCAAAAAAGAAGTAAAAGAACAGACAAAAGAAAACAGAACTGAGCACTGTCATCACTCTGACCAGTTCTAGCAAGAGAGACTTGGACCAGTTCAGGATTTCATATGGATTGCCTACATAGCATTGGTTATTGGCATTATCCCAGTGCACAGAAACCTCAGTGGTGGACTAGGATTCAGCTGGGGTTGTAACTCTACAATATGCAAACAAAAACATTCCTCTCTGAAACTTAAATTTCAAGCAAGGGAAGTTGCAAGAATTTTTTTTTTTTTCACTAAACTCAAAATATCAAAACTCAGTTAAGAGTTTGGAAAGAAATTCACTTGCTACTCCATCCAAATTGCAATACAGTATAATTTATAAACCACAATTCTAATAAATTAAGAATAGAACCAATATTTAGCCAAAAAAATACGTAACTGCAGATACTGCTAATCTTAGGGACAGCAACTGTTCAATCAGTCTATGCAATGCTGAAGCAAGATGGTATTTGTATTGATATTTATTATATTTCAAGCTTCCAGTTTTACTGCTTTTCTACTGTTCTGTAAAACTTTACATATAAAATAGAATGGTTCTATCAATTGTTAAATGACTGTCTTAATGCTTTGATTTTTTATATAATACTGTGCTTTTTAATAGCATTTTTCTTTGAAATTTTAGTAATAATTTAAGCTTCAAAACCAAAAGTATATCCCTAATCAATGATCAGCAAATGATCCTTTTCATTTCACTTCTGTAAGTTTTTATTAAATACATTCAGTATTTCCCATTAGGTGATATCTTTCTCAGTCACATGGAGATTTCCCCCAAAATCTCAGAATTTTTTATAAATAGGTATGACACAAGGTGATTAACATTTCCATTTTAAACTTACAGATTTGTACAAGCTCATGTCAACAGAAGTCCAAATTTACTGTAATTACAGATTATTTACATTAAAACAAAATAAGAAATCAGTATGTAAATGTAATGTTTGTTGTAGCTAATGCAGCAGGAGGTGGTAGATTAGGTTCAAACAGCAATCAGTTAGCAAATCTGGCTAACATGTAAATGAGCAGAAGCCCTTTTGTTTACATTCTATTGCATTTTAAACTTCAGGATTTTTAAACTGTCTCATGAGCAGATGTGAAAATAAAACATTAATCTTACCATTCTTACTGAAGCTTTCAAAGTAACTAAAGCAAGGCACTGCTCCTGTCCAGCTAAACAGACAATACTAATAATTGGAGGTGCAGGTTACATGGTTCTTAATTAACACTCTGCTACAGTTGATAACGTAAAACAAGACACCATGCCACAATCACCACTGCTCTGAAACAATCTAAACCACAAGCATTCAGCAATACATCGACCCATTACTTGGAAGATGGGGGTTGTAGGTCTTTTTCCTATCCACACGGATGATTACACTTCTTAAATAAGTTACAATCGCTTAGCAAAAATACATTATTTGTAATAATCTCCAAGGTATACACCTGGTCAAGGAGCTTTTAACTGTTTTCAACTTTCCAATGATTCATCAGGTATAATAAAGTATCTAAGACTTTCAGCTATTTGGCAAAAAAGTATAAATATAAAATACATTATGTCCATTTAAATGACAACTGAAGAAAAAAAATTGATAAAAAGCATCTCCCAGAACATGCAAGGTAGAAAGGAGAGATGATCCAGATGACTTAGCTCCGTAGCCAGACTCGCATGCCTATACCTTTGATGCTCCATTCTTGCATTCTCCTAAACCTTTTCCCTGGACTGGGTATTGCCGGCTTTCAAGCAGCACCCGAGGCAGCGAAAAGGGAAGGAATTGCACACTGAGGAAGCAAAGAATCTGATCTGACAAAGCTGATGCAAAAGTTCTCTCCCTTTGGACAATTAAGTGATGGAGACTCTTTGGCACTTTTCCTTTTAAGACTTTCCAAAGAAAATCACGTTCTTCTCCACCCACGTGTCCCATCTGGTAACTTTTGAACATACTCACTAGCTTCAAGGAGGTCTGACAGTGTTATAAAGGTCTCAAAGATTGCATGTAAATCAACAGCACGGTAGAGGAAAAGGACCCAAATTACTACCCCCCTTAGTAAAAGGCTGCATTACAAGCGTAGTATTTTATACTCCATCCAGCTGACCTCTGGACAATGATCACAGAACTACCCACAGGATAAGATTTCACCTTTCCTTTGATATTACCTGACTACCAGATGGAGAACAGAGGCAGGGCAGGCTGACTGTCTATGCAGGGGAAAACAAATTACATAGGTGCTACAAAATGCACGGGAAGAACTGGAGGCAGTGTCAGAGGTGGGTGAGATCACAGAAAGCATGGAGAGAGGGCTGAGTTACTGCGGCTGCTGGGATGAGGCAGGAATTCACTAGAAATCAGGTTTCATTACACCAACAGCTCACAGAACACGTTGTTATTGTTCTGGAGATCATGCATGGATAAGTATGGCTTTGCCAACTGAGATTGTGGAAGCAGGGCACGTAACTCTACAGGTGGTACTTGACATTTTAATCTTTACACATCAATTTACTAGCATGCAGTAGAAACTCACTGGGTTTCCATTTCCTATAAAAGCTTTAGATACGCCACTGATGAACAAAGATATCCTAGGAGATTTTTGCTTGTTTAAACTGCAGGATCACTTTGCCATTACATTTAGATGCTAGTTTTAAGTTAGTTCTGGGTTAAGCCCATTCAGTCTGTAATAATAAACTTCAATGCCTACATACCAATATGCTGGAAAAGGATGTTACAGACAGTGTTCTCCCTCAGTGTCAAGAACAGGCACAAATTGGAGTTTACAGAGCTGTGACCAGATTGCTCCTTTTAAGAAGGGCATATACATAAAATATCGCATACTGAAATCTCAGGCTTTTCAAGTATCACTTTCTGGAGATATTCAAATCACGACTATTTATCTCTAGTTCAAAATAGAAGGCATTTGAAGAAAACGACAGATGAACTCACAAAGTAAGAGGCAAAGTTCCTTAATATCCATTAATAATAGATGTGAGCATGAGGCTTTTAAAAATTGTGGGTAACAAACTAATCTGAATAATAACTGACCTAACAGTAGGCAGTAAACAGTGTAACTGGGTTTGGTACATTGCTTCAATTAGATGTGTTTTGATCTGCATTGATGCTTTAATTGGAGGCAAGCCTCCCCTTTCATCTAGAATTTACGACTTCAGGGAAATGATCTAGCCTTCAAATTATCCTTGTTTAAGTAGCCACTAATTAATCATCGTTTGCTATCCCAAAGCTACCAACTTTATCTTAAAATATGCAGAACTAATCTCCACTGTGAAACAAGTATAAACTGTAAAGGTAACAACCACTTTGATTTTACTAGAAAGTAAAGTGCTTTTAAACTATTCCTCCAATAAAAAAGCCTAAGAACTGTTTTTAAACAGTTTGTTGTTATATATTTTACTGCAGTTGCAATAAACAACATTCTTCAGACCCCAGTTTTCTTTCCTGAATTGAAGACGTTCAATTTACAATATACAGTGATACCTTTGTAGAAAACTTTATAATTGAAAATGGATTTTAAAAAAACCCCAAACAACAATTAGTATCTACAGTGTTTTTCCACAGTATTTTCACTGTCCTTCAATTAGCTGCTGAAGTACAATGGCTTATTGTCCTCACACACAACTACAGCTCCTGTTTGCACATACAGAGCAGCTACAGTTTGCATACAGCTCACCACCACTCTGCTCCCTCTGTTTCAGTGCCACTGTTTCCTCTCTTAATGCTTTTTTTCTTTATTAGTATTACAATTCATACCAGCATTCTTATTTCCTCCACAGACTACACGGTTATGTGCACAAGTACCTTTTAGTAATACATTAAGTCCTTTTAGTCATTAGAAAACCACTTATTTATTTCCATTGATTGTCAAAGAATTTCCTTTCATCGACTGCATTTGTAAAATATTCTCTATCAACTACAACAGCAGAAAAATAACTCCCTCTTCAGAAAATTGAAGGAACTCTAGTCTAATGACCATGAAATTTGACCAATTCCAAATGCAATGCTCCCCGCTCGCTTGCGGGTCTGGAGCATTGCTGCTCTTCCAGGCTCAATTACTGGGCACCCTCTAGCGGCTGCCGAATAGAATTAATATTTTCTTGGTAAAGAGCTCACACAGGTCTGCCTTTGAGAAAGGGAAGGGCAGGAAAGAAAACAAGCCAAAGTAATTTCAAATTACTTTATAAGACCAAATATTCCATTTTCTATATAATAACATTCCATTTTCAAACCTTAGCAATATTCACTGACATATGGACACTCACTTAACTTTTTGAGTGTTCAAATCAGTAATAAAAGATAGCCTGCTCAGTCAGAGGAAATTAATTATTTGGCCTACCTATGTGCATTTTATAAGTCCAAGAAGGTAAGACAAAAAAACGTAACAAACATTTCAGAAAGAAAATTCTGATCTGTTGGCAATGATTTATACAATTTTCTGTTAAATGAACTGATATAATGCAGTAATCTATGAATGCCCAGCTTTGAGTTTCACAAGGTCTAGATTTTTGTTAAATTATGGTCATCGCATCTGGGAGGTGTAAAATTCTTTATGCACCCAAGTGGTTCATGACCACACCAAGGTTTTAAAAAAACTTAACAACCTTCTTCTCAACAATGAGGTGCTGAGGTAGTTCATCCCAACACTTACTAGAACAGTGGAAACACATTGTATTTACTGATTGCAGATTCCTGCAAGGATACATGTGGCTTCATAAAAATCATACAAAACCAAATCACACAAGTAGAATTTATGGCCAAAAGACTTACCCAGAATGACTTGAAGAAGGAGGAGGCAGGTCAGGTGTTAGAACATAAAGACTATTATTTTTTGGCAAGTGTAGAGTTTTTAAAACAGTCTGAGGGGAGAAAAATCATTATAAATACAGAACATTGTCCAACTTTGACATATTGTTTTATTTAATTATTGATACTTATTTACAATACCACCAAATATTTCATTTTGAGATATACTTACTGTTAACTTCATAACATTGTTTTTGCAGGTGGGCCGCCTTTTGTATAAAACCAACACAAACTAAAGTGATTTGTCCTGATTTTTTTTGCAATGTTTTGGTTTTAAAGTTCCTTGTATGCCACCCAAGACATCTTGCTTGAAACTCACAGTTCTTGCATTGTAATCCCCACCCACAGATGTTCAGTTTGAAAGTCTGAATTCAGTTAACTGAAAACACAGTTGAAAACTTACACTATCGTCTACATCTCCAGTCTTCCACCCTTTTAACAGCATTTTAGACGCAGGAATCTGAAGTTCATTTTCTAGAATGTGTTTGATATCTCCTAAAGAGAAAGCAAAGAAAATATATGAAACATACACACTTACTGCTTTATTTCAAGCAGTACTGAGTTATAGTTAAAAAATGAGAGCAAGGAAAAATTTATTATGAAAATAATTTCTAATCTAGTTACCCTTTTAACATACACTTCAAACAGTAAAGGATAAATGAAGCTAAAAGAAAATAATAATCCTGACCTAAAGAACTGGAGTGTTCATACAATTTAACTGCTCTGACAGCTTTTTCCATGTTTTGCACATTTCAATGCTCTCCTCTCCCTGTAGTTATTACAGTTATAAAATAAGTCAGACTGGAAACTACTTCAAGAGGTCATCTAGCCCAAGCCCAGCTCAAAGGTCTAACTAAACCAGTTTAGTCAAGGATTTGTGCAGCTGACTCTTGAACACCTTTAAGGATAGAAGTTTGACAACTTCTCCAGCCAATCTGTTCTGGTACTTCACCATTCTCACAACTAAAAAAAAAAAAATAACCGCACCACTTCTATCTAATGTGAATTTTCAGTGTTGCAAATTGTGTCCATTGCCTCTCATCTTACTATCATGCACCTCCAAGAAGAGTCTGGCTCCATCTTCTCTGTGTCGTCCCAGCAGGTAGCTGTAGACAAGGTAAGGCCTCTACCTCTCCTCTTCCCTTCCCCAGGTTGAACAAATCCAGAAATCCAGTTCTCTGTGCCTCTCCTATGTTGCCATGTGCTCCAATCCCCTGACTATCTTGCTGGCCTCTGCTGGACTCACTGCAGAATGTCAATGTCTTTCTTGTATTGCGGACGTCAAAATTGGATGCAGGGCCCCAGATGCAGTCTTGCAAGCGCTGAATAGAGGGAGATAATTATTTCACTGGATCCACTGGCTACACTCTTGCTAACACAGCCTAGGATGTGGCTGGCCTTCTTCACTGCAAGGGTGTACTGCTGATGCACCCCTAGATCCTTTTTTTTTTGTAAAGTTGCTTTCTAGCCTGTCAGCCCTCAGCCAGTTATCAGATGGGGTAACACGGAGTTACCCTACATCAGATGCAGGACTCCAACTTTGCTTGCTTCGAACTTCATGAGGCTCCCTTTAGCCCCTTTCTCCAGGCTGTCCAGGGCCCTCTAAATAAACAGCCTTCCCCTCCAGAATATCAGCCACTTCCTCTGATCTGGTATTCTTTGTGAACTTGCCAAGAGTGCTCACCTTAACAACCAGGTTTCTAATAAAGACATTAAGCAACACTGGCCCCAGGATCTACCACTGAGGGGCATCCCTAAACTATGAACTGTTCACCAGTCAGACTCTGAGCCCAGCAGTCCAGGCAATTATCTACCTACCTTATCAGCCCACTTATCCAGTCCTTATCTTAACAATGTGACTCTAAGAATACTACAGCAGAGTATGTCAAAGGCCTTACTAAAGTCCAAGTGACATCCACCGTTCTCTGCTTGTCCACAGAGCCAGTCATCAAATCATAAAAGGCAAATAACGTTGATTAGGCACAATTTGTGCAAATTCAAATCACCTTCTTTTCTGTGCTCACTAAGAGCTTCCAGAAAGATTTTCTCCATAATCTTCCCATGGACCAAGTTCAGCAATCACCATCGAAAGGCAGGCTCACTTTTTCCTTAGCCTTTCTTTTTGTGCTGATATACTTACAAAAGCCCTTCTAATTCCCTCAGTGGTTTCAGCTCCACCTGAGCTTTGGTCTAACTCCAAACCTGCATACTCTGGCAACAACTCTATTCCTCCTGGGTAGCCCCATCACAACCTTCCACCTTCTGTATGCTTTCTTTTTGCATTTAGCTTAGTCATAAATTCTTTGTTCTTCTGTGCTGGCCTTCTGCCATGCTTCCTCCTCTTTCTGCATGTTGGAAGGGACTGTTCTTGTGCTTTGAAGAGATTGTCCTTGAAGATCAACCAGCTCTCTTGGGCCCCTTTGCACTCAGGGCAGTCTCGCATGGGATCCTGCCAAGCAGACCCCTGAAAAAACCAAAAGTCTTCTTTCCTGAAGTCCACAGTTGAGATTCTACTATTTGCCTTGCTCACTTCTCTCAGGACTTTAAACACAAGGCTGCCCTCGACCTTCGTATGCCAAGATACAGAAAAAAGCTCTACACTGACTGATTCTACCCTATAGCTTAATCATTTATAGTTGAATGAAGTTTATAAGAAAAGAAAAAATAAAATACTATGGCTGCAAAATTCTGATTTGATCAGACTTCTACAGCTGCTTTGCATGGATGCAACTCAGCGCAGTGCAGTGGAAAACATGAAACACTAATCAGGAATTCAAACTAATCACCACTAGGTGGCACGAGCCAATACCAAATCGAATGCTAAAAAGACAAATAAGGATAAAAAGTTCCAATTTCAAAATTTCATCACAGGCATAAGGCTGCAGCACTGAAAATTGTTTTAATCAACTTTTTATTGGTTTAGTTCCTTATTTTGATCTGTATAGAGTCTTCAATAAAAAACCAAAAACAAAACACCAAAACTCAAAAACCACCTCTTCGTCCTTAGCAAAAGTAAATTAACTCACGGTTTGGGGAATGTAAAAAATAACATGCTCTGCAATACTAACAATAGCATATTTCTAACATACTGTTACAAAATGCATCAGGTTTAGGATAAAGACAATAAAACTTATAAATGTTAATTTGCACAAACAGGTCAAAAATTGAAGGAAAAAAAAAAGAATGCAACAGTGCTCTTCACGCTGGAAAGAATGCCTCTGAATCTTGTCACTAATCCTACATGGAAAGAGATGCCATACAGATTCGAAAAGGAAATGCCAAGATCATCCCTTATTAGCAGATTGCATCTACACTAATCCTACCCCAAATTACATTTTCATGCCTCAACTTAATCAGTAATCTCCACTTTGTTTCTGAAGCAAGTTCATAAGAAAACCAGATTTCAAAACAAGTATTTGATAGATCACTAACCTTTACAATGGATTAGTGAAATTTTGCTTTTTTTAAAGCTGCAAAGAGATTTGAAAATGGTTAGTAGCTGTAGAGGCTGCATTCTCTGGGGGATTTTTTTCTTCCTTGAGGGGTTTTGTTTTGCTTTGGTTTTTTTTAGGATTTGGGTTTTGAGGGTTGGGTCTTTTTTGTTTGTTTTTGTTTTAACAATTTCACTACACGAGTTTTCATTTCATTTTTACAAATCCTTACCAACTGTGGAGCTGTCTTCAAGTACTACATCCACATTTCTGTCTCTGTACTCAACCCTGAAGTCAAGCATTCGAGGTTGTCTTTCCACTATTTGTCTAGATGGCACTACATGGCGAAATGCTGAGGATGAGGAAGGAGTTGAAGATGCTGCTGTAGAATGGCTTGTGGGACCATATGCTGGTCCATGTAAAGTCTCTCCACCATACTCACTGAAAGATATGCACATAAGAAGGTTTAAAAAGAACAGCTTGATATGTTTAAGTAAGTTAGCAAAGCAAATTGAACAGTACTGCTCACTTACTGTGGTCCATAGCACATACCTCTTGAATACACTACATATCTGAAAATACTGTTTTATTAATAATTAGAAAATAGCTTTCATACCAAGAATATTAATATTTCAGTGACTCAGAAGTGCTAGAGGAGAACTGCTTAGATGACAAACAGATGACAAAATTTAACCCGTTACTTCAGTCTAAAGTTCACTATGTAATTAATATCAGAATTATCAGAGAGGAAGCATTATCTCCTGTTCCAGGAGTGCTGTGACCACATGAAAACTGGTACCATGGCAACCACCAGCTTTCTACATCACTGGGCTAGTATCACATGGAAATGAGAATAAGAAATAAAGCTTAAAATACTGCACATATATTAGCACTTTCCAATGCCAAATTAGTGGAAAACAAGTCAGATATGAAAATAGTTATATAATTCAGGTAAATGAAGATAATGAGGTATATATTGCAAAAAAAATACCTAGAAGTATAACAGTAACGCAATGCTGAGTTCTAGCTTGCCTGTAAGTTCAAAATCCCTCAAGCCTCCTGGACACTCATATAAGGACGTCTCCATACCTGGCTCAAGGATACACATAGCATTACAGGGTAGGGAGCAACCTTACTTTATCTAACACAGTACATGTTGCCTGTAATTCAATCTGGAAAAAAAAAAAAAGCGGACAAGGAAGCATGGAATATCAATACCTTTAAAAATGCGTAAGAAAAACCAAAATACTTAGCCAGGAACATCTGTGGATTTGCCTTACAAATTCTTAAATCTTGGGGAAGGGAGGGGGGGAAGTCCTGACAACCAAGACAGCTTACTAAAATCCAGACTTAGTACTAAGAGACAACCCTGCACAGAACAACCCAACAACCAAGGAATACAAAATAAAAATTAACTAATTTGAATAGGTGTTCAAGACAGACCTCCATCAGTATGGGAAGAATTGAACATTAAATCAGCTTTGCCAGGAATACAATCTGTGGCTCCAGAAACTGCTTTCAAAGGAGAACTACATGATCATCTTTAGGATTCAGGAACAAAAAAATATAACTATTACCCAGCATCATTCTCTGTGTACTACTCCAGTCTTCCGTGCTTACCTTTGTAGAATGCCATTTTCTTGTGGTATTACACCATTTATAGCTGCCTGAAAAGAGAAAAAAAATTTTGAGTCAAGCATACAGAGCAACAGAAGTAAATCAGAACTTCTATAATATGTTTTAAAGAGTGATTAGCTTGCTTTAAAATATGCCATAAAATGTTCTCCATTCAGTGAATATTCTTGGTAAATGATATTGTCATTAAAGCATCTGCATAAAATAAAAACCATATCTAAGCGAAAACATACATGAACTAAAGCTCAGACTCCTATATACATGTGATGGATTTCCCACATGGAATGCATGGGAATAAATTGCATGCTCTATGCTCAGTACACTTGTTACACATATACAGTGAACATAATTGCTTTCAAATACATCGAGCTAACTATGCACAGACAAGGCAGCCACACAGCATGTACACAGAAAATCCAAGGTTTCCCAGAAGTATCAGACCTGCACAAAGCTATAAACCAGCACAGCTGCATATACACTGTATGTTGCAAGCCTGATGTGTTCACGAATTGCTGAAGTCGACGTAAACGGCTACTCAACAGCGCACATGCCTCAATCACACTTACGCCTTCCAGACAACCTGCTTCTAGCTCACGCACACCAATACCATCTAGCCTCTGAAGAGTCCTCATGTGCCAGGGAATCGCAGAAATGACTACTCCCAAAATTCAAACAATCTCCAGGTAGAACAGGAAGTATTTTTTAAGTAAGGTTTATGCAGTTAAATATCACCCTGTGCTGTCCAGATCATGAGAATAAGCAAAATATTACTTATAGGTGTATAATTACAAACCTGGCAAGCTGCATTCAGATTTGGTCTTATTTGAAATTACAGTTATTACTCATAAGAATATCCTAATGAATTCCATGTCATATTAAAATGCATTATTTTTAAAATAGCCCCGTTGCAAGTTCAAAACCCCACTTCTGACAAAATTGCCTTCTCAGCCTGTTACAGCATTGCTGATCTATGTTGCAGAAAGCTTTAATGCATTTTCAGCACATCTACTGCTATAAAAGTCTGCATAAACCTTGAAATTATATGCAAGTCAGAATGAGGGAAAAACCTGGAAAGCAAGTAAGACTCTCCTCAAGAGTATTTAGCAGACAACTTATTTCAGTTTTATACCACCAAAAAAAGTGTTTTAAAATCATCCCATTGCTAAGAGTTTTCAGATTTGAGAGGTAGTGAAAGTGATACCCCTTGAGCTGGTGAAGATGACTTACACATTTTACTTCTCAGCTGATTAAACTTTCTTCTGATTACCTTTAGAAGATACAGGAGTAAAGATGCCAGAACCCTAACTAACATCAGACTTTTAATCCTACCCAGCAGTGGGCTGATAAAGTGGAATAGCATGGGAGAGAATTTGACAAAGAATGAGAAAGAATTTTTAAAAAATCTAGAGAGGGGGAAAAAACCCAACAAACCAGACCCCAAAAGACTAATTCTATTTCTGCTCTTTGATGATCTTTATAATCACTATTGTGTTCGCAGGTACATATTTGTTAGGCTTAATGGTGAGACTAAAGAGAGCTTGTAGCATCCCACTAATCTCCATTTTCTGCTGTACCAGCAGCGATTCATGCATTTTACTATCACAACTTCTAATATCCACTCTCATATGTCAGATATATCTGACCTGTTGGCCAGAATATCTGGTGAAGGAGTGTCTGGTCCCTGAAGAAGAAGAGAATGCTGACATTTAGAAGCTCATAGATTCCCTGGTACTCCAGGAGGATGAAGTGAAATACTGCAACCGAACTACAGACAGTCATCACCTACCAACATCACTTTTACAAATTGACATAAAAAATGCACCGTAAGTGCTTAATGAACACAAATCTTGGCATCATCTAATTTTAAATGCTATGCTTTCTTTTTCTATGAATATATAAGCATGAATTTTTACAATTGCCATTAATAGTTAAGGCTACATAAAGTTAAAAAGTATTTCTGCTGAACTCAGCTAGGTAACTATGATATTGCAGTACGATCTATCCTGCATTTAGAGACAAATATTGCATAAATAATAGCAAAAAAAAGCAGACAAGGAAAAGGGTCACAGGTATCTGTAAGCTACAGCTGCTACCCATAAGGCTGTATCAAATTCCAGTGAAAACAAAGCTTCCTACCAGATCAGGTTTTAAATCAGTTCATCCACCGTGCATGGCAATAATCAGTGGTTTCTTTTTAACAACGTGTCTCATTTATCATCGTGGTGGTTTTTGCAGTTATACATAGCTCTTGATCATGTTCATCTAATAAACCTCCAGAAGAAAGTGGGAGGTTTTGGTTGGTTTGGCTTTTTCTAGACTGGTGTGCCCCCCACTCTCCCCACCCCCCACTCTTCAACAACTTACATTTCATTCCTGTCAATCAACAGGTAAAGATGTCTTTCGAAAGACAAAAATATCTTTTATTTTGCATCTGTAGAGTACAGAGAGCAAATACAGGTTTCTGTACCACAGGACCAACACTAAAAATGATCTGCTGGTGCAACAGAATTCTCTTTACTCTGAGAAAAAGCTGCTGCTTCAGCTCTGAAGAACTATTTCCACACTTTTTCTGTCAAAGCTCATGTATCAGTCTCAGAGGATTAAATCAGTTCAAACTTTTTCTAAGCCTAGTTAGAGGGGTTAAATACGATAGAGGCTCCAAGCTATTCTCTTTAAAACTGAATAACTCACTTATCCACATCCCCAGTTTTGTAAACCTGATGACATTTAAGGGGCACAGCAGTAAGAAGAAAAAGCAGCAGCAGCAGCATTATGTACTTTTTTGATGGAAAGACCTCTGTTAACCACACTGTAAAAATAAAGAGTCTGGACACTGTTTGTTAAGCAAGATGGAAGGCTAAAATTGTGTAGACGGCAAATGGTAGCAGTGCATATGTAGATATTGCATAAATATTAAATACCCATGTCCTTACAAGACATCTATAAGTAGACCCTGAAAAGAAAATAAGAAAAAGGAACAACCATCTGCTTTAGAATTTCATAGGAGGAAGGTTGTGACTATTAAAAAAAAAAAAAAGAACAAGTTATTAAGGCAAAATCTGTTCCAGGCTGTTCTTCCCCAATGTCAGTCCCCTTTGAGAGAGGATCAGGTCTCTATGGTTAAGCAAACATTCAAAGATATTAAATTTTTTTCTCTTTCCAAACAGGGATCATTTGATCATCAAAAACAGCCTGTGTGACTAATATACAGTAATTAAAAGATGTACTACCCTTGAAATAATTTTAATAACAGGTGCAGTAAACCTATTCATGGGTTATTAAATATAAAGATAGCATGTCTGGCTCAGAACATTTCTTCATCTCCCAATAAATTGTTGCTGAGAGTGCTACCAGGGAAGTAGCACCCCATACTCACACTGTTCCCACACTGTGTATATCCACGAGCGTCACTGCTGCATACTGGGTACCACAACTACAATGAGTAGTTTACCTACTCTATTGCTCTCACTATTTCAAGAATGAAGCTTGTCTTAAGTGGAAAATAATAGGAGTTTTGTAAGATTTTTTTTTTCCCCAAGTCAAGAATCTTAGGTGTGTCTCAGTGCTACCATATACAAACTCTATCTTGACACTGTTCAAACTTGGAACAGAGGCATAGAAACAAGGACATAGTTATTGTTGCAATGACACTATTCCAACAACTACCAAGCCCACAACTTATTTTTAGGAAATTATAAGCCAAATTTAGTTATTCTTGATTTACACATTGTGTTTAGAGATATCACACATATATCCAAGAATTGAAACAGTTTATCTAAGAATTTAGTAAGCCCTGCATGACCTGATCTAATTGGACCAGCTTTTGACTAGACTGACATCCAGAAGTAACTTCCAATTTCAAGCACTCTATGACTCCATCATCCAACAGTATATGATATATTGATAAATATTACTGGAACCCATTCATTTAAATGAACAGGGGAGACAAGAATACGATATAATACAGGACTCGTGAGTGCCAATTACAAAGGTTGAAAGTAACAATACTTTTCTTGGTGTTTGTTTCAGCAGCAAGTTTCCAGTAGCAAAATATATTCAATCCAATTTTTTCGTTGCTTCCCACAAACATAGAAAACAATAGAGCTATAGGGTTAATAAAAGGTTACCAAATTCATTAATAGTTTGGGCAGCCCAGGTACTCTGTGGTATTCTACAAACAGGCTGAAATTATTTAAGTGCCTAAAGAACGCTGTGAAGCAGACTGTGAAATTTAAAGTTTTTCCTCAAGGGAGTATTAACTTAAGTAGATTAGTCAGTTGTGATTAAATGTGACTATCTTTTACAAGTACAAAACAGTGTTGGAGAGAAAAATCAGATGAAACACTTCTTAATAACTTGATGAAGCAACGATGTTGATGACTTTCTCAAACTACACAATTATAGTACTAACCATTTAAAGGCAACTAAGTACATCTTACAGCAACTCTCATCCCAGGAGAATGAGGGTCCTATGAATAATTATGAACGAACTGTGCTATTTTAGATAGCACAAAAACTAAACTCCCAAGTTTAGTTTACTCAGTGGTTATCACTAACTTTGAAGACAGACTGGATTTGCCGATCATATTATTTAAAAGTAGAGGCTGACATATACATTCAAACAAGGCAGGGAATTCCTTCCTCTTCATGACCTACAGACAGGAGGCAGTTTTTAAATTTCCAGAATTTAAAAGTGATGTTTAGATAAATTTTCTTAAAACTTAAAACAAGGCCCAGACAAAAGCACAGTTAAAGGCTTTTGCAATGGGTGAGGCGGGAGATCTTCCTCCGTGGCCACCTCTTGTTCCCTCCCCTTCCCAGTCTCCATACCACATGATGGTTCTGGCCACCAGATAGACTGTTTGAAACTTTACCCATTCAAACCTCTACCCTAATGAAGAGCAAGAGCTTTTACAAAGCATGACGTAAGATCAACTTTCTAAAACAGGGTATTAGAAAACACATCTCTGAGCAAAAGAAAGTAAATTCAAGCAGTATAATGCTGGAAGAACAACCCTTTCAGAAGAAGAGG